GAGCCCCTCCAGCGGATCGGATGAGACCATCGAATGCGAAGTGAGAGACGCCACCGGTGCATCCACAGTTGGCACGTCCAACATGGCTTCAAGTTCGGGCGCTGCACAGAACAGCTTCTTATCTAAATTGCTTGGTGCAGTGGATGACCCCGGTTGGGCCCAAGGCGCTTGCAGAACATCCGCGAACAGTTGAGGGCACGGAATAAAGTCCTTCTCCTGCTTGACTTGCTTAAACAGGGCATCATGAGGACCGGTCTCAGACGGGGTAGTCGGGGGTTGTGCTCCCACCGAACCCAGATTAGTAGTCAAACGAGCCTTGTGAAGGAGGGACTTAAATAGTGAGGGACGAAACAAGCCCGTGAAGGCTGGAGTGTCAGGTACCAGACCTTCATCCTCAGAGAATTCGAGGTCATCGGGGCCCTCCTCGTCATGGCCCGAGCCCTCAGACGAAACAGACTCACGAGGCGAGGGGGACCGAGCCCTGCGAGAGCTTGAAGAGGCCGACGTGCCAGAAGTCCCCGCTGCCGATGTCTGGGCCGCTGTCTGCGCTCCGGCCGCCATAATAGAAGCCAACGCTGTTGACAACATCGTCTGGAAGTCGAACTGAGATGGAGGCGGAGGATTGTCCACTCCTCGGAGTCCCGCTGCTGTAGGCGTGAAAGTGGCCGAAGGTTGGCGCCGAGGGGGCGGAAAGGCCTCCAAACCCGCTGAGGAAACATCCGGCATCGACTGGGACACGCCCTTCTGCCAAGCCAAGGAACCGGATTGGACCACTCTCCGCTCCGAAAGGTCAGGAACAGGAACAGCCTGGTGAGCGGATCCTGCATCACCACGGACCAAAGAAGCTGACGCCTGCTTGGCCTTCTCACATCTTTTTTCCAAAGCCTTATGACGCCTGAGAGCATCCTTCTCAGCGGCAGAGGAGGTCTTAGAGTGGCGGGACTTGTGACCGCCAGACGCAGAGCGTTTGCCCGATTGTTTCTTGCGGGACTTAGATCTGACAGGACTGACCTCCTGATCACTGTCTGAGGAAAACGAGCAGTCCGCCATGGTGAGAATGCCCCAAGCAGAATAGAATTATTAAACAGTTGATAGACAGATGAAGGTATAAAAATTAATGATTAATTGATTGACCAAAATCAGTTTACTTGATTAATTGATTAATTGATTGGATGAATGCTTGTTTGATTAATTAATTGGTTGATTGAATGACTGGCCGCTTTGAGAATAAATAATTGAGTGATTGCTTAATTGATTAAAGACAGATGACTTAATATTCTGCTTACTGCCCTGGGCAATGCACTATGCCCCAACGAGCAGAGCTGGCACTCCTGCCACGCTAATCACAAGGGCACCCCTGTCTCTGCCCAGGTAGAAGGAAAGCCGTGCACTGGAGGCTGCAAACCAAGGGGTGAGCGCTAAACAGGCCACGCTCCCCCCCCTCTTATCTCTTCTCCGAGTCACTGCCCAGCACGGGACAGAGGCTCAGCCAGCCAGCCCTCGGAGTAAGGCTGCGGCCCTCTAAATAGGGTCCGCGCTGCCACGAGGAATTTTCAAAATGGCGGCCGCCCTAATGCTTCAAAATGGCGGCCGCAAGTTGGTGGCGTAGTTGTAAACTTACTGCCCGCCCGAGCTTAGAAGGATGGCGGAGCGGCTTTCCCTTGGCGCCGCTCACACGCGGACGCCAATTAGGGCTGGAAACCGGGCGGCTTAGGTATGATGGGAGGGTAGCGAGCCCCGACAGCCACGCCACACCCTCCCCTGCGACCACTTACGGCTGTATCTTCGAGGCCTCAGAAAGACGCCGCCGGTCACAGCGCCGCCCGCAGAAGCCTGACGGGACGGCCGCTGGAAAATTACGCCACGAAACACAGCGAGCCGGTAGCTGCTTGCAATACCTCCGTTCCGGCTCGCTGTTCCACACGGGAGTCGGGGATCGATCCGCTCAGCCCCGAACTCCCCGGCGATAGTAATACCCTACCGGCTCCGCCCCGCAGGGTCAGAAGCCGGCAGCAGCAAGCGCAGGAGCGCTAAAGCCGGCACGACCCAGTTCCCTAGGCACGAAACCGGCAATCAGCTGATTGACTCCAGAAAGCAAAGACACTAACCGAAAAAAGATGAGAAGTAAAAAATAAAAAAAGGGGGCTAATCAAAAATAACCAAAAAGGCCTAACGCAACACTCAGAGCACAGAGAAAATCCTCCCAGTGTGTCAGCAACTGAGAGAAAGACTGGGGATTCGGGTGCAAAAGGGGGCGTGGTGAGAGCACAGAGTGGAAGATAAGTGGAAAAAAGTTCTCTCAGTTGCTGTCAGACAAGAGGATTTTCCCAATGCTGGAGTGTAGTAGCAGCGTTCTGGAAAATTTAGGATCACATATAAGTTTTCTACATATGGTCTTGTGCTAACCTCTTCAACACCATAGCATGTGCAAAATCATTTGAGGAAGAACAAAAAAATATAGGAGCACAGTGTAGTTAATCATTAAAAGACAATATAATGCAAGATAGTTAAGAAGTTTTTATCTTGGATGAGAAGCAAAATGTCTTCAAAAGAAAAAACAAGAAAGTCCAGTTACCTCCTGAAAAAGCACCTTTGCAACAACCATGACCTGGATGACTGAGAATCTCTAGAGACTTATAGTTAAGAACACTTTTTCCAAGTAACTAGAAGTTCAAAAATTTTGCTTTGGGCTAGACTGTAAGTGAGCAAATGGTAGCCACAAAGAATGTACACTCAGAAGAGTGAATAGTATTAAAAAAATAAAATTCATTAAGGATGAAACTGAAATGGAAGACTTCTAAAAAAAATGTTTCAGAAATTTGTTTGGGAACAAGAACGATACAATAAAGAGTAGTACTGAAGAGAATGCTATAAATGTTACCATAAAAGAATGAATTGAGAAAATAAAGTAATATGCTGTGAGAATGTTGGAAAATGGTAAGATTGCAAGGGTAGCTTGTGTAGTTCAAAAAAGTACAAATTTGAGGTGATTTCTTTATGGAACAGTGCTTCAATTTGTTTAATATTTGTTAAATACTCTATGCTCAAAGATTGGAAGAATGTTTTTTCCCCTAATGCAAGGGGATAGAGAGCAAGAATGAATGTAAAACACAAATGGTTTAGTTGGCGAAGTGTGACTGGGGAGATGTTTGAATGAATTCTGATTGAAAGGGGAGAAAAGGGGACAATGACCAAAATTTGAGAAGTGCACAGCAACTTGAATTCCAAGCAGGACTTTGGCAGACCAGATTTTTCTTCTTCTTCTTCAGCATTAAAGAACACTGATTGAAAAAAGTGTATTTATGTTTTAAAAAAGGATATGATATAAGCTTGAATTATCAAATGTTTTGTATGAATATCGAGTTGAAGTGTGGTACAGATGGAAGTTAAGCATGGGCAAGAAAAAAAAATAAACACTTAGCAAATACAAATTTGAGCAAGGAATAAGAAAATAATGGGGATTCCCTAACTGCCTAATAGATTTATGGATAATTGTATACAGAATGCTTGTGGTAATGTTAAAAGGTATATTTGTTGGAAATGTGTACTTTGTTGAATGTATGTGTACTTCGTATACAGATGATGCTGTGTTGTTGGCTAATGACCCACAGTAATTAGAGCAAATATTAGATAGACTATATGATGCAATGGATCTGAAAATTAATGTAAATTAATGTATCAAGGATCAAAATAGTTGTGTTTGGCATAGGATGCTGTTGGCAAAGACCATGAGGAAGCATAAAAAGCAGGAGAGAAAATTCCCCTAGTTTGCAATGAGAATTCCAGAGCTATGCAAAAGATACTTAAGTGTTTCTCTAGGTTAGAACTGCCTCCTCAACTGTTAGTATTAAAGGATGTGACAGTGGAAAATGATCTTTCAGAAGGTATGTCTAACAAAAATAAGGAAATCTAAAGAGCATAATTCCAGCTGTTATGTACCGTTACTTCAAAAGGAATTTGTCTTAACAAATAAAACTAATTGGTAGTTTCACCAATTGAAATATCACTGAGTTTTTGAATCATCCTTCAAAGCATTTTTTCTCTCTTATCTTTGAGGATATTCAAGATTACGTAGTTACTAATTTGGATGCTGCAACACACACATACACATAGACAAACACAAAAATGTACAGTGAACCAAATATGGATAATTTATGGCCCTACAAATATTGAATGGCTCCCAGCATCTGTCACACTTACTCAAATAGTTAGAGGGACAGTTTCGTCTTCTTTATATTATACATACAAACTCACCACACCACATTTAAATTTTTAAATTATGCCTTGACTTTATAAAACAAGCATCAAAATTCAACCTTGACTTAATAAAACAAATTAGAAAATGCTCTTCTGTGTTTCTAATCATTGTATATCTTTTTCTGCAAATGTAATATATTTTTTTAAACAGTTTAGATTCAACTGTAAGTAACTGAGTGATATGCACAAGTGTAGTCAGAAGACAAGGGTTGAAACAGTTTTCTCTGAAAACATGGAATTAACAAGTCACAGTAATCATTTGCAAATTTTCTCCATGTAATTATTTTCAATACATTGGTATTTACAGGTAGTCCTCAACTTATGACCACAATTGAGCCCAACATTTCCGTTGCTAAGTGAGACAATTAAGTGAATTTTGACCCATTTTATGGCCTGTCCTGCCACAGTTGTTAAGTTAAATCACTGCAGTTGTTAAGTTAGTTAATATGGTTGTTAAGTGAATCTGGCTTTCCCATTGATTTTGCTTGTCAAAAGGTCACAAAAGGTGATCATATGACCCGGGAACATTGCAATTGTCATAAATATGAATTAGTTACTAAGCGTCCAAATTTTAATCATGTAAGCATGGGGATGTTGCAATGGTCATAAGTGTGGAAAAAAGTCATAAGTTTCTCTTTTCAGTGCCATTGTAACTTCGAATGATCACTATATGAACTCTTATAAATTGAGGACTACCTGTATAAATATTAACAAAAAGTCAATATGAAGCATGAAATTCTTACCGTGATAAGCTCTGATTTATAGCAAGGATCAAAATGGTTGTTTGTTTTCAGGAAAAATAATTCACTTTTTTGTCCACATATTTGACTTCATGCAACTGTTTCCTATTTTTCAGTTAAGGATGAATAGGCTGAAAGAAAGAAATCAAAAAGTCAGCTTGTAAGTAAGTGAACTGGTCATCAATGGAGAATTATTAAGAATTATTTAACTGCATTCAAAAGAATAAAAATATTAGAAACATACAGTTTTTCAGGGGTGACTTACAACATATCACTACTTTTGGGATAGTATTTACTATTCCAAAGCTTCCTTGTTTAATATCTGATTTAATAGGAATGGAACTAAATAATATTTTTCTACATTACCACTTAGTCAAGTATTGGGGAATCAACATTGAGAAAAGGAGAGAATTTTCTAGAAGAGTAAACAAATTTAAGCAGTAGAAAGAAATCAGGTAGTAAGAAAATAAGTTTTACAGCCCTTAGAGGTGAGCTGAGCAAATATATGATTCTTTGGTTATCCAAAGTAAAAAAGCAATATACCTGTCTATCCACTTCTGAAATTTAAATGGCAGCAGTAAACTAAAAAACTTCAAGGCATCTTGCTTAATAAATGTATCAAGGGTATCTGAAATGCTAGTTTAATACAATGAATTTAAGAGTGATCTTATCAGTTCTCAGATCACTTCTCTAACCAGATTTATTTGCATTTACAAGTTGAAGATGTTCTATGAGAAAGATGCTAACTATGCAGATCTGTACTGATAGACCCAGAATTACATTATTTTATATTTTACATAATACAAAAAGGAGTTTGGAATTAAACCCATTTTTAACTTAAAATTTCTATTTAAATGAAATATTGTGTGATTGATACAAGCATAAAATTTCTATATTCATATCAAAGCAAACATGCGTACCACTCTGCTCAGCTGAGATTTTCATATTTAAATAAACTAAAAGATTTGTAACATCCATTTACAATTTTATACTGTGGTAGCAATAGTTATGTTAATATTTCAGGACATTTACCCATATCATCTAACAAAGCTATATCAGGTAATGAGTGATTCTGGGTTGCAACCAGTGGATTAAGTAGGTTAAGTCACTTGGACCTATACTGACCCAAAGACTATTATTCTGAAAACCTCAAAATTGATGATGGGATTAGTGCAAAGTCTATTCACGTTTTAATTGAAACTTCTGAACTTGAGCATCTTGAGGACTAAGAGCCATCTTTTCTACTCTGAAGTAGTCCAGGGGGTTTAGGATATGTACTTGCTAAGCGTGGCATTGGCTAATGGAAAATGCCTAAGTTTTATATTTATATAAAATATATTTATATGAGTCATGGTAGCACAGTGGTTAGAATGCAATACTGCAGGCTACTTCTGCTGACTGACTGCTGTTTGGCAGTTCGATTCTCACTGTCTCAAGGTTGACTCAGTTTTCTGAGGTTGGTAAAACGAGGACCCAGATTATTGGGGGCAATATGCCGACTCTGTAAACTGCTTAAAGAGGGCTGTAAAGCATTGTGAAGCAGTATATAAGTCTAAGTGCTATTGTTATTGCTATTTCAAGTGCAATGCCTGGTTATCACTCAATGATAGCTTCTTTTTTTACACATGTATGCCTAAAATTATGTATTGTTTTAGTAATATCTTCACAACATTCGATTGTCCAAACTAATAAAAGTAACGTCATGTCCCTGTCAGAGCCTGAATCTGTGGAGGAAGACGAGCCGGAGCTGAAGCACAGGGGAGACAGGGGGGAGGGGGCTTTGTTGGAATGTGGGGAGGAGGCAGGCCAGGGCCCCTCAGGAGTGAGACAGCTTGCTAGCAGGGAGGAACAGGGGCAGGATGACCGAGAGAGGGCAAGCAGTGGAAATGAAGAGCAATGGAGCTCAGGCGATGAGCAAGGACTGCTCCCTCCTGATCCACAAGCATGGAGAGTGGAGAGGAGGTGGGAACAGGGCAGGCCAACCCAACAACTTGGGAGGAGAGCACCACACCCCTCTTCACAAGGCACACCTGGGGACTGAGATTTAAGGAGATGCTGTGGGGAGGGGTGTTTGTCGGGAACAAATGCTGAATTCATGGAGTTTGGTATGCCAGTGCTGATGTTTGGAGTTTCCTGGACTTCTTGCTTTATTTCTTGCTTCCTGGATTAATTGCCTTGTTCCTTTGCTTCCTGAAATCATTGTCGTATTCCTTTGCTTCCTGGACTCATTGACTTATTCCCTTGCCCCACTGGATTTCTTACTTTGCAGCCATTGTGCTCACAGCACAATGTGTTTTTTGCTGGATTACTTACAGCCAGAGGCTGCTGGAGGTGTGTGTGTGTGATCACTTTGCTCTCCGACTTGCCATAACATGGGAGCATTTGGGGAAAAGTTGAGGCAATAAAGGGGCAATTTGAACTATCAGCTGACTGTGTTGTCTCTGTGCCTTGCCCTGGGTCATCACAAGTAAAATGCTGATATTAAAACCCAAGTTCCACTGCTTTATATCCTTCATAACTACACAGTTAACATTTTCTGCACGTAAATTATTTTTTACATTTGCTTAAAATACACTATACTCAAATATACAAACAGTTATTCTACTAGGTATATATAAAAAAGGTGACCAATGTATACTATTTACTGTAAACATGATTGTAGCAATGGCTGTAAAATGTATTTTTATAGTAACATGAAAACGATTATGTAACTAATCCAGTAATAAATATTAGAATCAGTTGTTTTCCATTAAGATCTTCTAAGCATTATTTTGATGTACACACATGTTCTCGATTAAACCAACATCAGTGGTTTATTTAAAAGGCAACAGGATATAAAACCAATTTTTAATCTTGGCTGAAGCAATTTGGCTGCTGATCAGGACTATAAACGTACTTCCTGTCACATACATCCACAAATACACACACCCCAAAATAGAAAAAAAATTTTTTTTCAATGATCCAGCTGGAGCAAAGATGAAAATGTAGTTTTATTAAGAATGTAATGTTTTTGCCCTACACACACGTATTTAAGTACAACATGCAGATATGAAGCTTACCAAAGTCTTACACTCATTATTGATTATATTTACAGTTCTAAGAAGAATGGTTACTTCTTAAGAGTGGATCTCTATTACGGAAATTTACAAGTTGATATATTGTGTCATCCATGACCTCTGGACTCTATTTACGCTTCAGTAAAAGATTGCACAATAAATGTTAACCGGACTCAATATGCACATTTTACTTCTATGCACAGGAACTGAATGTCATTGATCAGAAATCTGCCATGAGATTTACATATTTCTCATATGTAAATAAGAACTAGCCCCAGTCAAAGTCATTAAATCACTAGAGATGTGTTATGTCCCCACTTGCTTCAAACGCTCTACTATCAACCCTGATAGTAGTGCTATCAGTAGTGCTGAAGAAGCCCACCATCAAGGAATTGAATGACTACAGACCAGTTGCTCTAACATCTGTAGTCATGAAAACCTTTAAAAGGCTAGTGATGTCCCACTTGAAGCTGGATTCATTTAACAACTGTATGATTAACTTAACTGCAGTGATTTGTTTAACAACCCTGGCAAAAAAAAAAAAGGCATAAAATCTGACACGACTCCCTTAACAATTACTTTGCTTAGCAACAGAAATTCTGCCCCTTGGTCATAGGTGGAGAACTACCTACACTTTTCTGTGAGCCATATTTCTCTACTAAAAAAATAAATTTCAACTTGATATACATGTATTCCCAAGTAAGCTTGAACATGCTACAACTTTAAACCATAAAGCATTACTGAAGACTTCAGGAAATATCACTTCTTATTCTGAGGCAATAGAACAGTAGATAATAGAAGCCAATGAACCTTGAAAAAAGATAATCCTATCACTCAGCCAAAACTTAATATTATTTTTTTATTTTAGGCAATAGACTGTAAGGAACTAAAAACGACTGGGGAAAGGACATCAATAGTGTGTGTGTGTAGAATAGAGAAAGCATCACCTGGTATCCTTCTTTCCATAAAATGGTTAAGACTGGAATAACCTAAGGCTACTTGCTTTAGGACAAACCATGACAAGTACCCACAGTGGTATTTCCAACAGCTCTGGAAAATTCTGTGCTTTTTGATAGGTGGTGAAAAAGCAACAAATTTGCTTTAATTTATCTCCGTCTCACTCTGCTTTTGCTTATCTTTTATCCCATCAATTTTCCCATGTTTGTTTGCTGACCTCCCACTTGAAACAGCAAGATTGTCTGAATTCAGATATGGATGCTGGTAAGCTTCAAGCTATTTTTCTGCTAGTTGAGCAGAGTGGCATGCATGTTTGCTTTGATCTGAATCTAGAAATTTGCAGGAAATGGCTCTGGGCGCAAACTAAATTGGAAATTACCCACAATAATTTAGCAACAGAGTTATTGATATTCACCAATAGCAACATATATCAGTATATAATATCAACAAAGCTCAAGACATAAGTTTAAATGTACCCAGGATACCATTAAAAAATTAGTGCTAGAAGTAGTTGGAATCAACCTATTCATTAACTGCATATTTACAGATTTAGTTGTATATCATTATATAATTTAATTAGACTATACTATATATTTAACTAATTTTTTAAAGCTAGATACAATCTCTCCAAATATGAACACGTTATTTTTTCCTTCTACTGTACATCTGAAATATATTCAAATATATTGTAATATATTCTTTTACAGTTCTGACAAGCATATAGTACCATGTAAACAATATCTTGTATAAGTGTTCCTTTGAAACTGCATGCATTAAATTAGTTTTATTGCAATACATATGTATTTCCAGTTTGGCAACTATCACTCTAGTAATAAATCCTGCCTTGCAATTTTGTTCTAGGTCAGTTACGATGGTGCCTCAAATAGTGTCGTTTACTTTGACTTAATCCAAACTCTTCTCATTTTTCTTGCTGATAAATGTTTAACAAAAAGGCCAACATGGAGACTGAGCCTTTCTATGTACTGTTTTATTTATAGCCTTTTATCTTATTTTTCAGAGCAATTATTGTCTCCTAAAGTACGTCTACTAAAGTAAAGAAATAGGCCCTATTATCAAATTTATAAGACATGGCAAACAAGGAATGGAAAACAGAGGGA